ACTTAGTCCTTTACACTTATTCACCACTTGGCCTAAGCTCACTTTGAGCAGAGACCACGTGAAATAGGCTCTGATACTACCTGTGACAGCCCTATCTTCTCCTAAGGCGAACCAAAGGGTTTGGCAGACTGTCTGCCCAACTCTCGTTGGGACTCCGTCATACCTCAAACAAAACCATAGAAACAAGCATAATAATAATCCAAAACTTAACGCAAAACTTATATACATGTCTATCTCAAAAGGGAGTACAGACTCAAATATATAAAGGTTCTCCATTCTTCATATATCCAACCCGTGCCAAACGCTAGGGCGAGAACCATTACAAAAGAAATTTTAAAGAACTAGACCAAGCTAGTCTATACAGAGCTCTCGTCTTTGCTCGCCTTCCCCTGTTAAGGAAAACAAAACTAAAGGAATGAGCTTAAAAGCTCAGTGAGGCTCCAAACACATAATCAAACAATAAGTCCTATGCATGAACTATAAATAACCAATAGTTCAAGAAACATTTACAATATAAAACGATAACAACACATTCATTAAAAGGATATGTGCTCACATGGAGCCATTCATTTATTCATTCATTCATTCTTTTTTCATTCCCTTATTCCTCCAATCATTTGAAAATGCATTTTTGTAAGTAAAACCCCTCATTTACAATATCAATCGTTCATTCATTTCATTCACCCCCTTCCGGACGTTGGCCGGACTCCACCAGACTACAAGGTAATACTCGAGTATACCAAACTTTCACGCAGGGTCACCAAATCGCCCGACCGAGTCTGCTTCTGGCTCGAATCGACAGGTAACAAAGGGCAAGGGCCCAGTTCAACCAAGCGGTTTACATTCATGTGCAACTAGCATTTAATCATTTAATCATTGTAAATTACACATTTATTTAGGTCAAGTGCGATAAAGTACACACTCGCCTAGAAAACTCGTTTTGGCAATCATTGAGAGCACTTAACACATTATCAAACAAGAACAACAAGCCATGAAGTCATGAAAAATATAACAAACAAGGAACACTCACCTATTTACGCAAAATAATATCCAAAATATCATTCTGGATAATACCGTCAGTCACCGCTGAACCCTAATATAATCAAAAGAACACATTATGCTTCAACCATCAAAGATTTAAGTGATTCAAAGAAAATTCGAATACGTACTAGTACAAAGTATAAATATGGTTTTGCTAGTGAAAAAAGTACATTTAAACCAAAGGACATAAGTAAAATATTTGTAAAACTTGTGCTCACTCGTAAAACTTTAAAATCTCTATTTGAGTCGAAGTGACAAAGAAACGTATTTCTATTAGTCGTTAAGTTCATTTTTTCAAGGGTACAAGTTTTGACTAAGTTCTCACTTATATACCTCAATAAAAGAAGACGCAAATATCCTAGATAGTTCACGTGATATTCGGTCTCAAGCCTTACTCGAGTCAAAAGTATATCTGCTTAGCTCTCGAGCGTAAATTCGGCCAGCACGCCCTTTGTATTTACCTATTTTCCAGCTAGTTATGGCTTCATTCTTTTCCTCAGTCAGTCCCAAAATCATACACAAAATCATCTCATCCATAGCCGTTCAATAGGCTCAAAGTCATACAAGTACACAATCAAACCAGGAAAATGTCCGGAAATGAAGTTTAAGTCATAAAACAAAAGACAGATTTGCCATCATTTAGCATAACGGGCACAACTGAAGCTACGCTTATCGGATTGGGGTGCAATTTATACCGTTTCAAAGCCAATACAAAGGCCTACAATTTGATGAAGACCACTCAGTTCAATTCGTAGTGTATCCAGGCCAAAATTTCAAATTACAGAACCAGAATCTCACACTTAACTGCACTACACGGAAACGACAATAACTCAGGCTACTGAAATCCGATTAAGACGTTTTTAGGGCCGCTGGAAAGCTAAAACATAGGGCTAAAAGTTTCATGTTTTGGCCAAAGACTAGTTTGGTACGGATCAAGGTGAAAAACGCAGTCAACATGAGGAAATGTCAAAACTGTCTGCTGGACTCTACCTAGGGCAGTCCCAAGGGTATTTCGGTTTTTTCACAGGTTACGTTGCTCTGATTGAGCTGAAATTTTGTAGGCAACTATAAAACATTATTTTCTACAACTTTAATGTTTTAGGCTAAGCCTAATTCGGCTTCTAATATGGTGAAATGGAACCAGGAAGAACAGGGTATACCTTAACTTCAATTCTGGAAATTTGCTACAATCGAGGTGTAAATCTCATTTTTAGCTTGAAACCATCACTACCACCTCTTATACCAACCCATATATATCCTATACCACCCATACCACAAGTATGATAAGTGAATCATTCAAACCCTAACTCAAATCCATCACCCCAACCATCCAAAATCACTTGATATAAGCATTACAACCACAAATACCAGCTACTAAGCAACTCCAACATGATTAAGGAAAAAGAAAAGAGTGGTCAGCCATATTACCTCAAAAACAAAGCTTGCTAGAGCTATCCCCCACTTTTCCTTGAAATTTTTGGTTCCTTAAGCTTCCCAAGCTCTCAACCTACAAGTTAATCGGTTTAGTTTTCTTGTTTTTTTCACTCAATCAAGCTAAGCTCAAGATGAAATGGAGTTTTCTTCTCTTGCTCTCTCTCTCTCCTTGAGGTTCGGCCAAGCTGATGAAATGGAGGAGAAAATGAAGCTTCAAGAAGGTTAATAAGATGGTCATTAGTTTGGGTCAAAGTTAGGTGGATGACCACCAAGTGTCACCACAAGATTCAATCTCAATTTTTTTTTCTTTTTCCTCCCTTTTCTTGGTCAATATTTTCGGCCATCTTGAGCTGGATTAAAGGCTGATATTTTGCACTAATAATAATGAGATTAACTTGATAAAATGATGGTCAAATGGTGTGTTCAATCGGTAGCCAACGATACTCGTCGGTTTGAGTCGATTTTCCTTAAATCGCGTATACTAGGGTTTTATCTTCTAATTCACTAACTTATTATTATCACCTCTATTCACACACTTAATAACACCTAAAACTCACTCTTAATCACCAAATTTGATCCACACTTCGCACCGGATAGTCACACTATGGATAGACGTAAAAACCCTAATTCGCGCTAACTTGAAATCGAAAAGAGAAAACCCTTATTTCTATATTCATTTGTACTTATTGTGGGGTGATTGGGTAGTAGGGCCATTATAAAGTAATACTTTCCAAATAATTTCCAAATAAAAGGGAATTTTAAGGAATTTCCAAATACTTTCCAAATGATTTCTCACTCACCACCACCCAGAGCACCAAACATCTCTTCCTTCACTTTCCCTCTCATCCCTTTGATATCTTTGGCGTTGTCCAAGAGGTATACAAGCTCCCTCTATCTCACTTTTTGCCTCAAAGTTTTCATGTCGCCCCCTGTTTTTGGGTTCTGGCCTTCCTGTGGGAAAGAAAGGACTATTTTATATGTTTTTTCCATTTTATTTTGGCTGTGTATGGTCGAGTTGGGTTTTTCTAATTGTTTTAACTCTTTAGCTTCTTCCTAAATGATCAGAGACTTGGAACATGCATACACATACACACACTAGTAATACGTCACATGCATGGCACGTGATTATAATATCATAATATATAATATTTTTTATACATTAAATTTATTTGTGAAAATTATTTTAACAAATTTAATATTTGCATAATTTTTTATTTTTCATTTGATTTTTTATCTTCTAAATTAATTATCCTTAAAACCATTATTTTAAAAGCAAAATAAAGATCATAAAATGTTATATCTACAAATTCATATAAAATCTGTAGAGAATTTTTAACAAATGAGGATACATTCAGTCTCTTTCAATTTAGAATAATGATTTCGAGGACAATTAATTAAAGAAGATGAAAAATTAACATTTAAAAAAATAAATATTTGACCAAATATGAAATGATTTGACAAATGTATCAATATTTTGAATGGTATGTATAATATTGATACTTCTAAATGCTTCTTTTATTCTTTTCTATGACAAAGAATTTATGATATATAGCACTAAAATTGTTTGATTTTTAATTTGATGTATGACCAATTTTCTATTTTCTTTCAGAGTTGGATGATTTAAATTTACATGCTAAGCAAAAGTTAATCATTTTTTAACCATTGGGATTGGTTCAGAGGTCAAGGTAGGGCTCTTAGAGTTCTCTATGGTTCAAGATTTGAGGACTGGCCTTTAGATGATGAATGGGTGACAGATAATGAAAATTCAACTCTTTCAAAAGAAAATAGTTGGTTGCAAGTTTTAGATGACAATCTAGAATGTGACACTTCTAATAAGGAGGAAAATGGAGATGACAATGAAATTGAAATACTTACAAGAAATGTGCAGAGGGTTTGAAAGTTTCTTTGATTGTTTCAATTTAATTAAAAGTTTTACCTTTTTTTTTTCAATTGGTATAGCTTTATTTTGCAAGTTTTCTTATATTTGGTAACTGTTATTCTTATTGTTTGTTTATTTAGATGATCATTAACATCATGAAACACATGCTCGTGTGAGGCAAGCTAGTAAAATGAAAGAGATTCATGTTATTCATGAGGATGATGGTTCTTCAGGGGAATTTGACCATTGTGATGATGATTGTAGAACCCAAATTTTAGGATTCTAATAATATTCAATGTGTGCAGGGTTACAGAATTGAAGGGATAAAACAGACATTCAAAATAAAGTCGGAGAGAAGAAAATAATAAACTCAATTCACAATATTATTGAAATCTCAAACAATGAAGTAAGCTACACCACAATAGAAATCTAAGAAACTCTTCTAGATTCTCTCAAGAAAATAGTCTAAATTAATGTCCTATTTATAACCTATCAGACTTGTTGGAAAAGAAACCACTTGCATAAGAGATTACCAAATAAAATACAAATTCCTAAATCATACTACTACTAAAAACTTGACTTCAATAAAACTAATAAATAAATAAAATACTTCTAGGCTTTGTTTAGTTTGCCAACATTGCTTCTCTTAAATCAATCTCTCTATTGAGGCAGGTCCAACACCATCTCTAACAACAATCTCTATGCAAATCTCTGTGGTTGTATATGTGACATGCAATTCCATCTTATTGCTGGTTATTAACTTCATATTTACACGTAATTGTCGACGCACTTTGTATTTTGCAAACAATTTCTCAGCAATTTCTTCTTGATCATCAGAATAGCCACTACCACAATCATCCAAAAATTTCATATTGTCAATCAACTCTTTTGGAGCAAAATATTTTTGAATTCCAATGAAATCCATATCTATCAAATCAAATATATTTCCATCACCTTGTCAAGAGTTCAAACTAACGATTTTTTCAATAATAATTTCTTTTCTTCACATACCAAATGAAACTTCTCTTCTTCCTTTACCAGATCAAGGCATTCTTTTTCTCCAACAAATTTATCACTTTCAATTTCTCCAAACAAAGTATGTAAATCAAACTATAAACTGATTCAAAATTTTTAATATCCCTTATATCATCAACAAATCTATCATTCTCAAAATTCACGAACCATTTCCAACAACTAGAAATTCGGTTTGAAAGGATAATTCTTCTCAATTGTCTTTAAAACATAGTAAATATACTTCCAAAATCTCCAAGATATTTTAGTATAACGAACAAAAGTTTTATAAATACTTTCTGGCATTGTTTTACGCATCATTTGAAAGAATAATTGTGCCTTCTTCTTGAAAACATGTTTTGGCAACTCACTTGCATCAACCCAACAAAGAATATCATCCAAATTACATTGTTTGGGATATTTTTCCACTGTTAAAACCCAACCAAAATATGTATGTCAATTTGTACTTGTGGGAGTCACTATGAAAATTTTTTCACCATTAATCAAATCTCTATAATATTTCATTATTTAACAATTCACATGCCTGAATAAATTTTTTCTCCCTTCTGTCAAGTTTTCCTGGCCTCCCCGATTGATTGTCCAATCAAATCCTTTAATCTAACAACCTGCAGCAATCAAAAAATCTGGCAGGATTCCTCTCTGATCTCTGTTTTCACACCTGCATTTAACAATTTTCGGACCAGTCTTGTGGGCGAAATTCTTCACCAACTACACGCTTTAGGACCAAGGACCAAGGACCAACTTTTTGGTCTAACTCGATGTTTTTAATCCCTAAATAAATATGAATAAATAACAGTAAACAGCCCCCTCGCAAGTCATAAACACATCATACAAAAAAAAATTTAAAAAAAAAAATATATATATATATATATATATGCTAATCACAAGCTAAAGTATCACCAGCTTAGCTCCAGGCGCTAACTTTGCTTCAAGCTGCTTGGCGCGTTCTCGTGCTTTTGCAATGCCATCCTTACGGTTATACCCGGCGCTAGAAGCAATAATTATCTTTTCTAGCGTGTTAGCAATTTGAACCAAGGACAACAAAAACTTAAATTGAGTCCTATAAAAAGAAAAATACATCAACTTCACTACTTTAAGATGTTCAAGGCGATACGAACCGAGTGCCGTAAGGGACCTTTGCTTCCGTAGCTACGCTGAGCAGAGAACATATTCTCTTTTGTCCCCATCAAATCATGGATGAACTGAATTACAAGTCTTGACAAGAAAGGGCACGCCTCAGTCAGCAAGACAAAGAAGCATAGGCTTTGATCAGCGGCGGTGCACAGTACCAACTCCAGCTGTTTGAGACATCGTAATAGAGGGAGTTTTCTAAAGGAAAAAAGTGTAAATTCGCTCACTTCAATCATAATCGGGCCAGGTACACGCACAACAAGCTTCTCCACACGACTGCAATATGTTGAATGCTTGTTACTTCTGAAAAGGAAAGCTGAAGTCCACGGTCCGTGAAGTGTTAGCTCTGATAGGTTAGGAACATTCTGAGATTTAATGGGCAATTCTGCAATATATGAATCCCCAAACTCAAAAGACACAAGATTTGCAGCAGAGATGGTCAGATTTTGCAACTTACAGCAACAGTCAATAATCAAGGACTTCAAAGATGGACCAACAATACTCAGCTTCTTTATATTATGGATATACTTGAGGCACAAATGTTCAAGAGATAGACAATTGGATAAGAGATATTCAACCATCTTTTCTGTGATGTGAATTCCGAACAATTTTAAGGATGTTAATGAGGAAAGACCAATACCCTGAAGCTTCACTGCTCTCGAAATGGACAACTTTTCTGGGTCAGGGAAATAATCAACTCCGGGCAAGTCGAATTCCAAAGCTCTAACATCCTTTTGCATCGCAAAATGAACCCAATTACAAACACGATTAGGACTACCAACATCTGTATCGCGATTCCTTCGACTTTGAGGACATCGAACTATAAATCATCTATAGATGGACCCTGATGTAATTTGAGAACTTGATTAACCAAACTTTCGAACTCAGCTGCTTCTAACTGATGGGTACCACCTTTCTTAGCATTCCACCGGTCAAAATCAAACTCAAGAGTACCAGATGCGAAGTGCCATAAACATCTCCACCTATGCGAGAGGACACTGGTCCTTACTGCTTCCTTCAGACTCAAATAGGAAAGAATGACAATCAGAATCTCATCGGGCAAAATCTCCGTCCCATCAACAAGCAATGCAGCAATTTTTCTCATCGCCTTTCTTTTTCTCGCAGTAGAAAAGTCACAGATCTTGCATCTAGAGAGAGGACCCTTCATTGAGGTGATTCTGATCGGCAGTCGGCAGTGGGATGCGGCGGCGGTAGGTCTCTTTAATATTCACCCCGGGATAGATGGTCACAATTCTAGTCCCATTAACTCCGGTCTAACTCCATTAACTAAATACTTTTCAGCAACTTTGTGCCCTAATTCTCTGAAAGGGGAAACTCGTAATTTAGCTCTGACCTCGTAATTTGGCTCTGATGCCTATTATAGAATCCAAATTTTAGGTTTCTAATAATAATCGATGCGTGCAGGGTCACAGAATTGAAGGGAAAAAAAAAGATACTCAAAATAAATGTGGGAGAGAAGAAAATAATAAAGCCAACCCACAATATTATTGAAATCTCAAATAAAGAAGAAAATCACACCATAATAGAAAATCTGACAAACTCTTCTATAGTCTAAACTAATGCCCTATTTATAAGCTATTAGATTTTTAGAAAAGAAACCACTTGCATAAGAAATTATCAAATAAAATACAAATTCCTAAATCATACCACTACTAAAAACTTGACTCCAATAAACTAATAAATAAATATTTCTAGGTTTGGTTTATTTTACCGATAATGATTACCTCGATATGATTCCCGAAAATGATACTCAAAGAGGAACTAATGATTTGAATAGTAATTTGGATGGTGATGAAAATAATGCTGAAAATGGATTCCAAGAGAGTTGGGATGGTGAAAATGAATGAGCAGATAATGATTTTGAAAATATGGGTTATGGGGATGATGAATATGATTGGGTTTAAATTAATTTATTTCTAAACTATTATGATGCTTGATTTAGGAAGTCACTATTTTACTTTTTGTTTTTTCATGTTTGTTTAAACTTAATAAATTACATTTTAATAGTTAATTTTGATGTTGAAAATCTTGAATTTGGAAATTATGGTTTTTGATGTTGGAGGAAATTGATGATTATCTTAAATTTGGAATCATTATTATGTAAATTGTTAAGCATTTGGTTTCAAGATCTTTTAATCATAATTTATAACTTTTATGTTCTTCTTCTTTATTGCTTGTCAAACTATAAGTAAAGAAAGCTATATGTTTATAAATAACCTATTTATTTGATAACTTTCAGGTTATGTAAAGTGATATATGAACTTGAAACTAATTAATTTAGTCAATTTAGAAGTTTTTGGTGGGATCTTACGATTTGATCCTATAAAACTAAAATTGATCTTATTTAGGATCTCAATTTTACAAATCTTGCCTGTCTTTAACAGTTGAGGATGAAAAGGATGTGGAGAGGGGTTGGAGGGTACAAAAATAAAAAAAATAAAAAATATTTTTTTGCATAAATATCCATTGCATGCTCTATCATTATTATTTTCATGTTATATAAGTTGAATTTGTCAGTATCTTGATGAAATTCCCCAATATGAAGTTATATGCATCATTTTTTAAAAGAAAATGAAGAGATATATATTCTTTGAAATCGAACTCTGTGTATCATTTTATATATTATTTCTATTAAAAATGGGGCATAGATAATTAGCCATATAAAAAATTTTCCCTCTAACTATTCATTTTTTGAGAATTGAAATTTCATAGAATAGTTAGAGGGAATCTAACTATTTTCCCTCTAACTATTCATTCTAAATAATTGAGTTTTTGTGTTATTTTTATTTTTTGGGTAGAATCTAATATAAATCACAAACAACAAAGATTCTATTTTTCTAAGAGCACCTTGTTTTGGTATTAATAGTGATATTTTTGAAGATTTGAAAATTTAATTAGGCTATGACCAATCAACAATTTTTAATTGAAATCAAAACATTGAACATAGAATGCAAAGAGACACATTGGTTCAGGGTGTTATATATTGTTTATTATCTTCATAATTTAAATTTAATGAAGATTACATTTTTTCCTAACTGCTATGTTTATTGCTATTATTAAAATGTAATAAATCTAATTATTAAGGAGAAGGATATTTTGGACAAATAGAAAACTTAGACCAGATCCTACTTAGTGTCTAATGCTTAACATTTTTGTTTTGTCATCAGCTATTATTTTCTTCTAAATCAATAGATATGATATAATGAATTTTAATCATCATAATAAATTAAAATGAGCATAATATGACTTCAATCATCAATTAATATGGGCATAATTGAAATAATAAAAACTAAGATCAGAACAATACTTACACTTATACTCCAAAATATCAAGACTCATGATACTTTTTATATAGTAATGATAAGCATAATATGACTTCAATCATCAATTAATACGAGCATAATTGAAATAATAAAAACTAAGATCACAATAATACTTACACTTATACTCCAAAATATCAAGACTCATGATACTTTTTATATAGTAATGATAATGATAATGATATATACATACATATATATATATATATATAATATTTGATTGAGTCTAGCCACTATCAGTTTCATGGTGTAAAATTATGTGTTTGGTGCATTTGTTAAATCATTGGATTGAGGTGGCCGCACAAAGCAAAGGAATTTACAAAGATTTCAACCCCTCTGCTGATGCACAAAACCATTGATTCCCTAGATAATTTAATACTTTCTCTTTGATTGTTCCTTGGTATTGGTGTAAAATTATGTGTTTGGTGCATTTGTTAAATCATTGGATTGAGGTGGCCGCACAAAGCAAAGGAATTTACAAAGCTTTCAACCTCTCTGCTGATGCACAAAACCATTGATTCCCTAGATAATTTAATACTTTCTCTTTGGTTGTTCCTTACTTTCTTTGTTTTAAATGAGAATTCCTTCCTATTTGTTTCTCGGGATTTGAGCATTATTTTTTATGGACCCAAAACGATAATCAAACATAAATTCACAGAAACAATCACAAAAAGTTGATATATGAGGTAAAGGGAATTTTCTTCTATTGATGAAACAAGTTGCGGCTACAATACACAGAATGAAAATGCCACGAACAGAGGCTTCTATACTAGTCACGATACCTTATACGGCTGATTCCTATTACTAATACATCTTAAACTTGTATTCCACTTGGACCCACCATACTAACTAAACAAGCAAACTAAGGGTGTGTTTGATAAAACTGAAGTCTGAAATCTGAATCTATTAAATTATTGAATTATTAAGTATTAAATCTAATACATTTGACTGCATATCACATTCAGTAATAAGTGAATAGCTCATCACTTAATTTTGGGAGCAAGTTTTGTCTAGAAAATTTAGTGCTACTTAATTAATTCAGATGTTCAATTTTTGGTTATCAAACGGTCTGAACATTTTAAGATCTGAATCCATTAAGTTTAAGTACTGAATTGAGTTATCAAACATGGCCTAATACTAATAACCAATTACATTAGTTTGGTTTAATTATTTCCTACACAGCCTTCCTTAAACCACTGTGACAGCCCCACCTCTCCCTAAGGCGAACCAAAGGGTTCGGCGGACCACCTGCCCAGCTCTCGTCGGGACTCACTCACTCATTACAGTCCTCAAATAAATTACAACGTAAATCTCAAATATTACATCAAATTCTCCACAAATTTACATATCATAACGGAGCAAATACTAACTACCAAGCGTGGAACATACACATACATCCGTTCAAGTCCAATAATTCAAACGATCCTAACTATTACACAAGAGGAGTTCGAATTCAAACTATACATAAGGTAATCCATCCAGTCACATGAAGAACTTAATACAAGCGCTTTCCTTTGCCTCGAGCCCTGTGGGGAGAAAATTATATTTTGGGGTGAGGTAGAAGTTCAGCGAGTGTCCAGTAAAAATCAGTAATCAAATATATTTCATAATACTGCATTTCGATGATGCATGAATTAGTGATCAAATGTAAGTTTATTGCTCTTGTGAGCCAGTGAAATCATTGCACTTAACATTCAACGCTCAAATAGATCCAGTAACAGTGAAACAAGAAGAGGGAGCCATTTGCTCCAAATAAACAGAGGTGGAGACGTCGGTGTTCAGCACAAGACTTCCCAAGAACTCATTGGAGTCAAATCATGTCATGGAACACATACAAGCACAGATGAGATGCAATTGAGTAACCAGTGCAAGAAATAGTTCAAAAAGTAACTTTGAAACAGTTTTGGAATCACTCACCAACCATGGCTTATGAACCTCATCCATCATATGCAGTTCCTTGATCAAGTCCAAGTCCTTCAACTCAAACTCAAAGCAACCAAATGCTCTCAAAGATCGGACAGCATTTCCCCTTAATTTCTTTATTTTTCCAACCTACAAACAATCACCAAATCCATAACCATCAACCACAATTACACATATACATCATAGGCTATTAAACACTCTTAATAAGGGTCATAATATCCCCTTCAATCTTAACCAATTAAGAGCTCAATAATCAACCATCTTCAAGGCCAAATTCGAAACCCTAATCTGGACAAGTGGAAATTTTCCGTAAGCAATCACAACTAGTACATATAAGCTTCATCTTACACCTAACCAAGTTATTATTCCATGGCCCAACATTAATCATCACATGAGAGCAGAAAAATCACCAATAAATCTAAAATACATCAAACTCCATTTTCAACCATGAAATCTTCCACAAAACAACATATTTAACCACTACAAACCAGTAATATACCATTATTAAGAACAAAGAGGGAATTCTTTAGCAACTTACCTCATAACTCAAGAAAGATAGCAACTTAGAGCTTCCCCTTCCAAAACTACTCCACCACCTCCTTCCAACTTCCTTAGCAAAGGACTTTTATGGAGCAATTTGCAAAATCAATGGTTGAAACACAAGATTGAGGCAAGAAATTGAAGTTACAAGAAGAAGTTTTTCTCTCTTTTCTCTCTCAAAAGGTTCGGTCAGTTTGGAGAAGAAAGAAAAGTGGGTTTTGAATCCCCAAATATGGTCAAAAGATGAAAACTTAATCATTAAGAAAACTATACGATAGCAGAATCCGGCCGGATTGTCGGT